TCTTAGGCTGTATTTAGTAGGTCTGTGCACCTTCTTACTTCCACTTTTGTGCTAATCTGATTTTCTTTACTGTCAGCATCTGTCAGATGAACATAATTCAATCAAAGTCACATGGAAACACTCCTTGCTTATTGCTCATTATATAAATTATTGTTCTCTGCCCTCCCCCCTTAGTCACCCAACTGGCACAAGCTTTACATTGAGCTTCAATTGTCTCAAAAGAGAGGTACATTTTTCCCCAATCTTAGTTATGAGGAGTTATGAATATGTTGAAATGAGGCTTTCCCAAGTGCTGGTCACGGGTGACGCTGAGCAATGAGTAACCCACAGCTAAACTTTGATGCCTCTGCAAGTGCAGGATGTTATAAATTATTGATGGTGGCAGTAATTGTACCTGTCTGTGGGGGTGGCTGAGCTGCAGCAGGAGCAAAAGTCCTTTTAAATTTGATTAGCTGGTGGTTCTGTCTCATTCAGTAACGAGCCAGTGCTGGGTCTGAAATTCCAGCTGCGTTTTATCGATGGTTTTGTTGCCTGGAAGTTGGGATGCTGGGAAACAGCACCTGTAAAATCGTGGAGTGTGTCATCCCCTGGGGATTTTACAGCCAAACATCATCATTCTGTGACTGTTTTCCAGAGCCACAGCCCATTTTAAAGGTTTCAGGGGTGCTCAGTTCCCCTCTGCACAGGACAAAGTGGGAAGTGCATCCAAAGGGATGAAACTCTGAAAAACATCTGCAGGTTTTTAATGAACCAATTTTTTTCCCCCGTCTCGGAATGCAGTGCCTTGAGGAATGTGCTGTTCCTCTGGGCTGCTCTCCTTGGATACTATTTGTTTATAGTTTGGTGTTTGTCCATACCCTGAAAGTTGGTTTCTATTTATATTCTGATAAGGCTGGTTCTGTTCGCTTCAAGTAATGAGAACTTACGTACCAGATTTCTGGAACTTCTGCAGCTATTTCAAGTTTGGGTTTTGGTTTGGTTTTGGTTTGGTTTGTTTCTGCAGAGCTGGGCTTTAACCAGCTGTTTATCTTCTGTTTGTGCTGGTTATTGGTGGAAGTGAAATACTTCACATTTGTCCTTATTTTGTCGTGTTTGTTTTGGACACATTTTGTCACAAATGAGTTAAGAACTTTCTTCCAACTTGTCCTCCAGCTTGTTTTTCTCTCTTCTCAGCCTGGAGTTAACCTGATTTTTGTGAAGAGCTGAGGTTTATTATGGTTATTTCTATTTCATTATCTGACAGGGGTATTTTTTTATGCTCTGTCTTAGAGTATTCTGGTTTTATGTGTCCAATATATGTATCACCTAATGGGAGACTTTATAGTTTTTCCTGAGTTTTCATTCCTTGGCACATATTTAAAGCTTTCCTTCCTCTTCAGTATCAAAAATAAATTCATTTTATCCCTTGTGTAACTGAAGACATGAATCTGTGCTGGTCTTGAAACAACTTTGTGCTAAGCCTGTTCTAAATCTGGGAACATACTGGTCATTTTTAATTCCAGTGTCTCCTGATTACCTTGAAGAACTTCCCAGTTGGGATCCTTCAGGGAAGTGTTTGTCAGTGGGTGTGAACTCGGTGTTTCATGTACCTCCCAGCTCCTCTTGCAGAAGCTTTAATAAAAACCAATTAAAAAACCACTGTGGGGGCACTGGGGAGACCCCACCTGAAGCACTTCTGGGGCAGTGATGCCGAGCACGGAGCAGGGGCTGCAGAAGGCAGGGAAATCACCCAAACCACACGGCTCATCTTGGCAGCAGGGGCAGTTCCAGTCACTTTTTGATGTTAAGCACAACTCCAGTAATTTTTTGGTGTCCAGCACTTGAACTGCTGAGAGAAGAGGGCGCCTTGGGGCTGTGTCAGCCAAGCCTGGGGTTAAAGCAGTGATCTGAATTTGAAGGGGAGCCCCGATAGCTTTGCTAATACCGAGATTTTTATTTTTTTTTCTCCCCGTGTTTTTTTCCTCCAGGGATCGAATTTCTCTCTGGCCGAGGCTCCTTCGCTTCCAGGATGGAGATGAGTCGGGAGAAGCTGTGTGCCAGCAAGGCTGAGGGCAGCTCAGACTCTGGCTATCACTGCTCAGCCTGTCACGACGACGAGGAGTGGGGCAACACCAGCCGGGGACGGTCCAAGTCACGAAGTCTGTCGGCTTCACCAGCCCTGGGAAGCACCAAAGAATTCCGGTACAAGCTCCTGCTTCTTCCTCTTCCTGCTAAAATAGATCGATTTAGCTGGATTTTAGTTTTCACTCCTTTTGTATAACCCTAAAACGCACCTCGGGAGGTTGGTTTTCCAAAGCGAGGGCAGGAAGTTGAAGGTGGGGGGTAAAGTAAGAAAAACAATATAATAATGTAATTAATAATAATTAATAAAAGTGGCCTGGCTGTCTAAACAGGTGTCTGAGAGTTCATAGTCTCAAAAAAAAAAAAAAAAAGGCACAAATCAACAGCAGAGACACTCCTGCAAATCTTTACAAATGCCCTAGTGCTGCTTTTATTTCCACTAGGCAGAGCTCTAGGGCTGTGTTAAAACCTGTGTGAGTGTTTAGGTTCTGTGTGAGGCAGCACAGTCAGTTTGTGTTTGCAGACACTTCCCCAGCCCTGAGAAGGTTCCAGCTGTTCCTTTGGGCCAAATTTCCACTCTCGCTGCAAGGCCCTTGTCATGTGGACAGTGATGGAACCTCTGATTCTGTGATCTTTGGACCCTCTGCAAATATTGGGCAGTGCTGGGGCAGCAGTGGCTCTGCTGTGGTGGAAGGCACAGCAGAACTTCACCTTCCTTGCCCTGTAAGCCTCTCAAGCACGGCCAGAGCCACAGAGGAGTTCCCCAGCCCATGGAATGTCATCCAGAGTTCCTGCTTTGCTGGTAGGAATGTCCTTGGGAGGCAGAGCACGGGTGGGTGAGGCTGCACATCACAGGGTGCAGGGAGGCAAACTGAGAGCCTCAGTCTGGAGAGGCTGCAGGGTTAGGAAAATACACTCTGTGTGTGGAGTTCAGGGTGTTTAATGCTTCTGGAAGGGGTTTGCTGAGGGCTCTGCTCTGACTGTTCCATCCTAGCTATGGTGGGGTGTGTGTAGTCAGTAAATAAGACTTTAAATCATCCTGTAAAACTGGGGGGCTTCCTCTGCTCCACTTTATGAACATAGACTTCAGTCAACCTGTGTAAAAGGCCATGTGGTCCAAATTTTTGTGTATTATCTTCTGGCTAAATTACTGCTTTTTCAGCCAGGAGAGATCTTTGTGGGCCCCTGTGCATTGTGGTTTGGGTTGGGGTAATTGCTGCCGAGATTTTTTCTTCATTAGGATGCTCTGCAGTCATTCACTGTCTTCAGTTTAGGGCTAAATTGTCACAAGACTGCCAGGAAGTGCTGCCAGGCTTCCTCTGGAGTGCTCAGATGGAGGGAGTTGCCCATCTGCTCTGAACTGACAGGCAGATTTTCCTAAAAGATGTATAATTTCCAGGGCACTGCTGCTCATTCCTAGCAAAGACTGACTACAGATAACTTTAAATTCAGTGCAGGCATTTTATTGAGTAAATAATAAACCCAAGTGAAACCTCAATGAGAAGTTACACCAAGTATTGATTCATTGCTGGAACGTCCTGAAGGTTGGACGTGGATATTTGATGCCTCGTGTGGGATCAGAATTCCAGTTACTGGGAGGGGCCTGGAATTCTTTCAACCTGTGTTGAAAGAAGGCAAAAAATGACAGTTATCTGGGAGAAGCTTGAGTGGGGCAAGAAGTGGGAGGTGATGTTGTGCCAGGGTGTTATTTAACTCTCCTGATTTCAGGTGTAATTGCTCACGAGTGGATGGAGACTTGTCATTCCCTTGCCCGTGTTGGCACACACGTTAATCCCTCGTTATGTCAGACCTTGCTCATTTTTCTGCTTTAATGTAGATAAGGTAGACTTTATAAAACACTTAGTAATACTCTTATCTGACTGAGTTAGTCATGCCTGGCCTTACAGATGGAAAAAAAATTATCTGAGAAGCGAATGTAATTTCTGTTTTCACGGTGGGAAGTCGGGTCTTGGGCGCTCGCATTTTGTTAGACGTGGAACAAGTAAGATGTTGCTGTTATTCCTTAATTATACGTGTTTGTAACCTGTGATCTGGTTTTGATTTTTATTAGATTTCTGAGGGGTTTTTTTTTTTAGCTCTAAGAGTGAGTCACAGGGCTGGCCTGAGCTGCTTTATAACACACACAATAGAAGGCAGTGCAGTAATGATGGTGGCTGCCAAGCAGTGGGGTAAGTGAATTAAGCACAGGAAAGGCATGTTTCCCCCTTCTTTTTAATGGAATAATTCTGGGAGCACTCACAGAACATTTCAACAGTTCCATGATCAAGTTTTGCTCCCCTTTCCAGATTTGCTGAGGGAGGTGAGTTCTGACTTGCTCCAGATAATCCCATCCTGGAGCCAGGAGTAACCCTGTGTTCTCCTGTCTTCATTTTGAGCATAAATGAGACCTCAGAGCTCCTGTTTGTTTGAAGGCAAAGATCACATGAGATAAATAAATAGGGGGGGGAAAAAAGCATTTTTTTTCAATCTGTTCAAAACTGTAGCCTGGTACTGCAGATATCTCTGTGTAGAACTGAAGGGTTTGCATTTCATTAATTTATTGAGTGCCAAGATTTAAACAACAAAAAGGTGTTTAAGTAACCAGGACATGCATCACTGTGGCAAAAGAGTTTGAAGGACTTGCCTTGGTGTTGGAGATCTCACTGAAAATGCTTGTCAGGGCACACACTGGGAGACCTAATGCATGGACATTTTTGAGATGAAGAGCCCTCACCGAGCCATTTTCCGTGCATTTACACCAGGTTTAGTCATTCTAAAGATGTGTGCTTTCAGGTAAGGTCTACATCTTCAAGGAAGAGAGGAAAAAAAGTGTTGTTGCTGTGCCTGCAGCAGCCAGGCTGGTGCAGACACCTGAAATGTGAGAGTTAATACCTGCAAAATGAAACGGTAACAACAGATGTAGGGTTAAGAAATGCACTTTGCCCTGTATTTCTTAGTGCAGCTGTTCCAGAGAAGTGGTTTTGGTGGCTGTGGAGCCAAATGTGCCCAGATTTCTTTTACTCACTGGTTGTTTTTTTTTTTTTTGTCCCTTCAGGAGAACGCGCTCCCTGCACGGACCATGCCCAGTGACCACGTTTGGACCAAAGGCCTGTATGCTGCAAAACCCTAAAACCATTATGTAAGTGCTCGTTCTGGGGCAAAGAGAAGTTTGCTTTCCCACTCCTCACCCCCTAACCAGCGCCGTGTGTGTGTTTTTACCTGATGTTTGGAGGTTTTCATGTCGCTTCCTTGCCATCCTGGGGCTGCTCTGCCAGACTGGCACGATCTGCAACCCACAGTTTGGGGTCAATTATGGCAATTTTAGTCACTGTAAACTCAGGGGAACAAAAATCCTTCAGGACAGCTCGAGGAAAGGGAGAGGAATTGTTCTGTGTGCTGTGGAATCTGAGGAAAGGCTTCTCCCTCCCTCGGTGATGATGTTAGAATGGGTGGTTTGAGTTTGTTGTGTTTGATCTCTGGCACTTTCTCTGTATGAATATTGTTAGGGCAAGCTTGCTTTCAGACTGCTGATCAGTGTGAAAGGAAGGGTTGGTGTCTGCTGAGTGGGCAAATAAACATTTTAATTTTGTAGGTTGGGTGGTATCAAGTGTTGCTTTTTACACCACATGTTATATACTCAGGAAATGGTGTCTTGGTCAAACGAGGAATGTCAGGGTTTGACCAAGGCAGGAGTCCCTGGTTTTGGGGTGGGGAGGCCCTGGCACAGGTTGCCCAGAGAAGCTGTGGCTGCCCCATCCCTGGGAGTGTCCAAGGCTGGGTTTGAGCAACCTGGGCTAGTGGGAGGTGTCCCTGCCCATGGGAGGGGAACTGGGTGACCTCTGAGTTCCCTCCCAACCCAAACCGTTCTGCGATCCCGTGATTTTTGTCCCTTTAAAAGGTTTTATTTCTTTGCTCTCTCCATTAAGTGTGAGGTATTTAAATCAATATTTACCTGCCCAAGCCTTTCCTCTCAGTAGACAGTGATGTTCCTCAGAACACTGGTAGTATCCAAACCTTTCCATCAGTAGACAGTGATGTTCCTCAGAACACTGGTGGCACCCAAACCTTTCCCTTGGTAGGTAATGATGTTCCTCAGAACACTGGTGGCACCCAAACCTTTCCATCAGTAGATAGTGATGTTCCTCAGAACACTGGTGGCACCCAAACCCTCCCCAGGCAGGTGTGGCTCAGGTGAGGGCACCCTGAGCTTCCTCATTCCTCGTGTGTGGTGTAAAAGGTGCCCTGCAGAGCTGAGTTCAGCTGAAACCCTGCCTGGGCTGTGCTTCCTCACCTGGCCGTGGGGGAGCAGCTCCTCCCCAGGGGCTGGCCCAGGACAAGGGATATAAGGCCAGGGACAGGAGCCCTGGGCTGCAGAGGCTGTGGGTGACACGTGCCAGGGAAAAGCTGCCTGGGCAGGAGAGCTGGGGAGCAAAGGTGCTGGAACTGAGGGACTGTTTGAGGACCAAACTGTAAATTGCCTTTTCTTACCGCACCCGAGGTTTTGTTGGATCTTCTAAAAACAAGCAAAACCTTTTTTGTTTTGTTTTGTTTTGTTTTTTCTCTGGTGTAATCAATAATATTGTTAAACTCCCTTCGCTGGGAGGGATTTTTTTAACAGAAAATTATAGTTTTTAAGTACAGGCAGAAGTCAGTGAAGGTCTTGGTGTCTCTCTCAACATGACCATCAGCACCAGAGCTTGCAAACCTGCTTTCTGAAGGCTGTTACGATGAACTGAATGAAGACTCAGTGAAAAAAGGATCAGGTGGTTGAGCCCTTTGAGAGAAAGGGGAAGTCAAATACCTGCTTTTAAAGCTCTTTTTTGAAATGGGGTTTTCCTGATGAAATCTTGCCTCTGAAGATCCGGAATAAACTGTTTTACAGGGGATTTTTCTGTGAAGCCTCACTGCTTTTTATTGGGACTGATTGCAACACTTCATAGGGAGAAACATTTTTCAGAGAAAAATGTTTTCTTCTGAGGTCACAGTTTATTAATTAAGTGATAAAAGCCTCAGCCTTTGACTTTTTTGGAGCTGTTGCATTTGCCCGACTCCTGGAGAGAAACATGAAGATCTTAAAGTGTGTTAGGAGTAATGTTTCATTTAGTAGAACTGCGTGGAATTGGTGAGTACAGCTCAAAGCAGGCAGAGGGGCTTCTGTCTGAATGAAGCTGGAACTGGTTCTGGGCTTATCCAGTGAAATCAGTGCTGCAAACTTCAGTTCCTGTCAGGTTTATTGATATTAGACTCCTGCATTAACTTAGTTTCTGCTGTACTTGTATATAGAATATAGGCATTAAAATGAATTTTAAATTTACATTAAGCTGTTTGACTTACAGTGTTCAATGGGGGGGGGGAAAAATTATGCTGTAGCTTTTTTCTGATCCTCTGATTGAGTGTTTCTCCTTATTTTGAGTGGGCTGAAGAGGGCAGAGCACTGGCACAGGCTGGAGGGGAGCAGGGGAGGTGGCAGTGGAAGGGTTTGATCCAAGAGCTTTTGTGGGGCTGCTGTTCCCATCCCTGTTCCCATCCCTGTTCCCATCCCTGTTCCCATCCCTGTTCCCATCCCTGCTTGCCCTCGTTGTTCACATGGCAGCAGGGCCAGGAGCTACAGCACTTTAATCCTGTGTTATCTTCCTGTATCAAAGCACTGATGGGTGTCAGGAGCATCATTACAATGGGAATTATTGCGTTTTCCTGCCTCTCCTTGCAGTTGTGCTGAGGGCTGGGTGTGTTATTGGCAGGTCAGGGTGACACTGGGGGGTTTTTGTCCTCCAGGCACATCCAGGATCCAGCCAGCCAGCGGTTGACGTGGAACAAACCCCCCAAGAGTGTCCTTGTGATCAAGAAGATCCGTGATGCCAGTTTGCTGCAGCCTTTCAAGGAGCTTTGCGTGTACCTGACCGAGGTAACGAGATGGAAAATCCAGTTTTACCATAAAAAGAAATTTACATCTAAACCTCTTTGAATTACTGAGCCTGTTTAATGTGCAGAATTATAAATATATATATAATATATAAATATTCACACCCATTGCCACTGGATGTAGTAAAATCCGTTTCAGAGCTCAAGATCAGTGCTGAAGTATTTCAAGCTAAAAACCAAAAAAGTGAAGTAAAAACTTCCTTCTGCAGTCCCAAAATACAGGGAATGGGGTATTTAAAAAGCTGGAAGCCCTGAACAAACACAGCAGTGGTACTGCACCATGTAATCTGTGTTCCAGACTGTAGTTTAATTTATTAGATGGGTCTGTGCAAGCTGCAAAATTCTCGTGAGAATTAGAAACCACACATGGAAAAACAACCAAGAAATGCAGAGCACTCCCATAAAATATTATTATAAATATAATATAATTTTAAATAATATAACAATATTATAATATTATAATGTAATATTATAAATATAATATATTACATTATAATGTTATTTAAATGTTTTAAACTAATGCAAATTGTGGGGAGAGTCAAATATGTTGGCATTTTAAGACGTTAATAACGAGCTTATTGTCTCTCTCTCAAGGAGAACAATATGATAGTGTACGTAGAAAAAAAGGTGTTGGAAGACCCTGCCATAGCTAATGATGAGAATTTTGGACCAGTGAAGAAGAAATTTTGCACCTTCAGAGAAGGTATGGAAGTGATTCCCTGAGGGGACAGTTGTTGCTTTTTGTCTCGGTTGTTTCGCTGGGTCGGGTTTGTCAAACCAAAGTGTCTTTTGGCAGTGTTTGTTGGTCCATCCCAGCTGTGGGGTTTTTAATGTTTGTGAGGGAACGTTGTGGTGCTGCAGCTTGGAATTTTTCTTCCAAGAAACAAAGAGTGTTGCTACAACTGAATTCATATCTTGTGTTTCAATGTCGCTTCCAGATTATGATGATATCTCCAATCAGATAGACTTTATCATTTGCCTGGGAGGAGATGGGACCTTGCTTTATGCTTCTTCACTTTTCCAGGTTGGTCCCTGTGAGGAATAAACCTGTGAACCTTTTCTTTTTGAAGCATTTGAAAGTGGTTTTTCCCCCTTTGCTACCGAATTCAGCATTTGTCCTTTGGTGTTTGTTCCTGTTTCACCTTCTGAAAATGATGTAAAACGTGTTGGTTTTGTTAAGCACAGTTGAAGTTACATTAAATTAATATTAAAGTTACAGTAAGTAACTTTACATATCGAAGTTACGTTAAATTAATATTAAAAATAAAATTGAAAGTCAAAATATTTACAGGCTATGAGTTGAAGTGTGAATTGCTTTGATTCAGTGGCTTTAAGATTCTTTTCTTTATTGATAGGGTAGTGTCCCTCCAGTTATGGCTTTTCATCTGGGATCCCTTGGATTTCTTACTCCATTTAATTTTGAGAATTTTCAGTCCCAAGTCACTCAGGTTATAGAAGGTAAATTTAAGGGGACAAGGCTTGGGGTGTTTGTGTCTGTTACATTTTTTCCTGTACCTTTTTCCCAAGATGAATTAAATTTTGTTAACTCATTTGGGTTCTCCCTGAAGATTGAGACTGGAGAAACGTGTATTAAATTAACAGAAGTATTGCACTGCATTGACCCTTCCAGTGCTGCTGTTCTGTGAAGGAAAATGGCTCAGAAATAACTTTGTGGAGCAAACAAGTCCAAGATGATGCAGAACTCATGTTAAATGGCAGCTAAACATAGAAATAGAGTTTAGCTCTGAAGCCTCTGTGCTGGTTCTCTAAGCTTAAAAGCAGAGAAGTCAGGCAAATATAGAATATTTAAGGAAATAAATGCTTTATTTCTTCAATATGAGATTGAGTTGTATCCAAAGTAGATTCCTGAGAAGATGTATAAAATCCCCACATTTCTAGAATGTTGCCTTTTAAATACATGTTTCTGCTGCTCTGATTTTCCTTAAGCTTAGCTTTTGTCTCAGTGAGGATCACCTGAGCCCAGCAGCGTTTTCCAATCTTGATCACGTCCCTGTAAAATCAAATTTCACATAGTGAGGAGGGTGGGAAGGGAATGAGTTGAAATTTTACTTTAATTTTGCTCTTTGCTACTAAAAAATCAGTTTTGATCTTTAACCAAGTGTGGCCAGTTCCCTCGGGAATGAAACTGGGAAGGGTGGAAGCTCAGGAATAGAGGGCTGGCGTTTCATACAGTTTGCTGGGCGTTGCTGGGGGGGATTTTCTGCATTTAACACGTTCTTGTGTGTGTTCCACCCCCAGGCAATGCAGCTCTGGTTCTCAGGAGCAGGCTGAAGGTGAAGGTGGTGAAGGAGCACAGGGAGAAGATGACGGTCCAGAACGGGATCGAGGAGAACGGAGTCGTGTCTGCAAACCTGGAGAAAGAAGTGGGCAAGCAAATTATGCAATATCAGGTCAGAGGGCAGAGCAAGCAGAACTAAATACTGGTTTTGAATTGCTTTGTGCTTGTTTTATTAAGACTCTCCCCTTTTCTTTAGCTGACTCCTGTTAGCCCAGCACTGTGGGACTGATCTGTGCTGCTCTAACTCAGGGTGGGCACTGAATGAGGGGGATGTGGTGCCCATTTCTGCTGCTGCTGTGCTTTGCTTTGGCACTAATTTCACAGAAATCACAGAATTCCTTAGGTTGGAAAAGACCTCCAGGATGGAGTCCAACCTTCCTTCTGTTTTGAAAACAGAAGTAGCAGCTCTAAAGTGAGATACAGCAAAGATTTTTATTTTTTTTTTTTTATAAATGAAAAGAGAAACCACTAGTGACCAGCTTCTGGAACTAACTGTTAATCAGCCTGAATTTTTGGAGGACTGGGAAACTTGTTTCCCTTTGTCCTTTATTACCTTGCCAGGGCAGCAGTGCCAGGCTGGGGTAACGTTTGGTGTCGTGGCAGGTCCTGAACGAGGTCGTGGTGGATCGTGGTCCTTCCTCCTACCTGTCCAACGTGGATGTGTTTCTGAATGGACACCTGATAACCACGGTGCAGGGAGATGGTGAGTCTGGGGCTCCATCCCTCCCCTCCTCAGCTGGGCACTGGGGTTATTTAACTGCAGGATTCCCTCGCCTGGAAATGAAATCTGAAGCTTCAGTTCCCCTGTGGCAGCAAAGACGAGTGTGCAGAGTGTGCTTGTTGACTGGTTAGTGAACAAACTAGGTGTTGTAAGCTTTGGTTTTGGGCTTGTGGAGGCAAGTGGCAGTTTCTTTGGGTGTCACATGTTAGGGCTAAAGGCAAGAAAGGGCTCAGAAAGGATTGGCTTGGACAGCTGGAATTTGCTGGAGGCAAACAACCTCAGCTCATAACAACCTCAGCTCATAACAACCTCAGCTCATAACAACCTCAGCTCATAACAACCTCAGCTCCCAACAGCCTCAGCTCCCAACAACCTCAGCTCCCAACAACCTCAGCTCCCAACAACCTCAGCNCCTCAGCTCCCAACAACCTCAGCTCCCAACAACCTCAGCTCCCAACAACCTCAGCCCCCAACAACCTCAGCTCCCAGGCTGCAGGAGTTAATCTGCAGAGCTCTTACCCTTAAAAAAAGTGAGAGTCACTGTTACAAAACCCTGTAACCCGAGATGCAGAACTTTGTGCAACTCCCCTAAAACCGCAGGGCAGGTGGGATTAGGAGGGAGTTTCTCCCTGTGTGTGTGCTCCAGGCTGCAGTTCTGCTGGGAGGGACGAGCTCTCTGCTTGGCTTTCGCGACTGTGTGATTTGTGTCTCCCACTGTGGTGCTGATGCAGTCCCAAACTCGCTGTTTGTCCCCCCCAGGGGTCATTGTGTCCACCCCCACGGGCAGCACGGCGTATGCAGCTGCAGCAGGAGCCTCCATGATCCACCCCAACGTTCCTGCCATCATGATCACCCCCATCTGCCCACACTCCCTGTCCTTCAGGCCCATCGTGGTTCCTGCTGGGGTGGAACTCAAGGTCGGCTCCTTCGCTCCGATTTCTCTTTGTAAACCAAAAGCATCAAACGTAAATATGTTGTGATAAATCTATAAATGTTGTGGGCAGTCAAGGAACACCCATGGGAGTGGGACCAAAGCAGGGGGGGTTTGGGGAATGCTCTGGACCTGAAGTGGAGTTCCTTTCTCTCTTTCAGATCATGCTCTCCCCTGATGCCAGGAACACAGCCTGGGTTTCCTTTGATGGAAGGAAGAGGCAGGAAATATGCCATGGAGACAGGTCAAGCCTTTTTTTTGATTGTAGTATCTCTAAGTGTAGAAAATCCCGATCCATGCAGTTCCCTCATTCTCTGACATCTGCTAAAAGAGTGAAGAAACAAACTTTTATAAACCTCTTACAGCACAAACTGCACTAAAAGGGTTCAATTTCTTTATATCTTCCCATTAAAGCAAGTGAAACATTCGGACAGAAGCATGTGAACCTTGCAAGCTTGGCAAGGGAGATGGGCATTATTTAAAAATAATCTATAAATTTTAACTTCAAGGTAAATCCTGGGAGTTCTAGCAGATGTAAATCAGCAGGAGCTGCCTGTAAACGGTGGTGCTGAAAATCTCCACGTGGTTTAAGCTGTGTTTAACCTGGGAAATGCTTGTGCTCACTTGCTCCTGCCTCGAGTGAGCAGAACACGGCGTGTGAGGGTCCCTCAGGTTTTATGGGCAGGGTGTGGGGGCTCATCCTCATGGGAGGGGATTTCAGGGGTTTGAGGCAGCTGTGGGAAGGTCACTGGTGCATTTGCCATTCAGGAGGAGTTTTTTCCTCTTGGCCCAGACAAGTTGCCAGGAAGGAAAATGTACAGCTGGCATAACTCCATCCTGAACTGCTGGTGTTTCCTCTGAGGCTGAAACATCTTTAAAGTAGTTCTGTAGAGTATAGAAACATCTTTAGAGTAGTTCAGGAGAGCAAGAAGGTTTCAAACATGAGGTTTGGCCCTGTTTTAGTTTCTGGACTCTCAGTGCTGTTGCTTATAGTTAAAACTTGAAACTTAAAGGCCAAGGTGGCCACTTGGGTGTTCCTGTGTCACTGTGGGGTTGATGTGAAGAGCAGCAGAGGGGCTGCAGGGCATCCTGGGCTGTGGTCAGTGTTCTCACAGTGCCAGAAGGTGCCCACAGTGCAGCTGGGAGCCGTTCCCAGCCCTGGCTTTGCTCTGCTGAGCCGAGCCCTAGTCCCGGTCACGGCTGGGCTGTGGGAGCTCTTGTTCTCCCAGGTTGGTGGCTGTGGGGCCGTGTTAGCTCAGGAGCAGGTTTGGTTTTGCCCAGAGTGCTGTTTGCTGCCCTGCCTGATGGCTGTCCTGTGTTGTTATTGCAGTATTAGCATCACTACCTCTTGCTACCCCCTTCCTTCCATCTGCTTCCGAGACCCCGTGAGCGACTGGTTCGAGAGCCTGGCCGAGTGTTTGCACTGGAACGTGAGGAAGAAGCAAAACAACTTTGCTGTGGAGGAAGAAGAATTTTGAGTGTCTGCATCTCCCCAGACCCGTGGGAATGGAGTGTGGCAGTATCCCCTCTGTCTGCTTGGATTTTGGAGCCTTTGGCTGCCAGCGTGGACCTGCACTGGGGTTGTGGTTTTATATCTGTCAGATCCCGTGGCTGGGAATTGTGTTACTGCTTCCTGTGCAACCAAGGGTAGGGATGGAAGGAATTGGGCTCTGGTTGTTGTAGTCCAGGGTGAATTTCCTTCTGGAAACTGGATTCTTTCTGATTGAGAGCGACGGCCACATCTGCAGCTTTGATTGTAACCTCTCCCTTACCAAGGGCATGAATGTAGATACACCCCAGGAGAGTGGCATTCAAACAGCCTGTTTTATTCAGTATATTTGTAATTCCATTGAACACTGCTACGAATATAAAGGCTCTAAGAAGTTTTCTTAAAAAAAAAAAAAAAAGATAATCTCTCCTCTTTGTTAGCTTAAATACATCTGGCCCAGAAAACACTCTCTTACTCTCACATGTGACACGCTGAAGAAACACCCCTGGAGGATGTTTTTTTATTGATAGATGGA